GCAAGCGTGGGAAGAATACGTCTCATCATTTAACCCACACACCTCACTGCCTACAATATGGAAGAGGATAAATGCGTTTAGAAAATTTCACGGCCAGTTGACGATCCCTGCCATAATCAAAGAAGATAACACAACCACTACTAACCTAAACGAAATTTTTTAAGAGTTAACAACAACGTTTCAAAAAAGTTCTAGCGACAATAACTACACGAAAATGTTCCGAACCTACAAACAAGAAATGGCCATCAACTCACTACAACCCTCAGGAGCAGTGCAAGTTATAACAGATTTGTCCCCTCTAAACGTTCTGCTACAACTTAACGAACTTCGATATATCCTGAATAAATGCAAAAATACCAGTCCTGATCCTGACGAAATCCCAAATTGTTTCCTAACTAGTTTGCCTGATGTTGCACTTGAATACCTGACATCAATTTTTAACTGCATTTGGACACACATCTTTCCCTTCAGATGGAGGGGAACTACAATCGTCCCTATTCTAAAATCCGGCAAAAACCTACTAGACACAAACAACTATCGGTCAATAGCTCTAACTAATAAAATGTGCAAGTTTATGGAGAAAATCGTCAATCTATTCAGGTGGTTCCTGGAAGTCAATTCGCTAACCTACTGAGGTGATGTACGTGAAATGAATACAATCGTGTATGTGGCAAAATACTTTATTGATATAGAAGGCGCGATGCGTTTACTGCGGAGATCGAGACTCGAATGTCTCCCGAAAACATTTTCCGACGAAGGAGAAAACTCTCTCCTTTTTTAGGAAGTCCCGAGTGGAAAGGGCCGAGGGCCTCTTAGACCCGCCGAGCCAGCGCAAAATTATTTACAACTTAATGACTCTATTGACTCGACGGGTCAAAAGATCTCTGACAAAATCCAGACCTCGCTTCCCACTCGGAACTTTCCCTGTCGCCACACTACGATCACCTTATTAACCTAGAGACAATAATACTTGATGCCTTTGCCAACAAACAACATGCAATCACTGTATGCCTTTATACAATAGGGAAGGCGTATGATATGGTCTGGTGAAACCGTATTCTGAGAGTCCTTCAAAAACAGGGGGTGAAGGGAAATTTCATAAAAAACTTTCTGTCTATCAGAACAGTTAAGAGTCAACAACACGCTGTCCTCCGTAAAAGTAGTAAAAAATGGAGTTCCCTAGGGTTTCGTCTTAAGTGTCACATTATTTTTAATTGCCATCAATGACATCCGCTTGCCATTTGAAAAATACGCCCTGTCTCCGTCATTTTGCTTGTTGTCGCGTGCCATCCTCTCCGCTTGCCACTTGAAAAGCGCGCCATGTCTCCGCCATCTTGCTTGTTGCCACGTGCCTCCGCTTCGCCCTTAGGCTGCGTCCTTAAGGGCTGCTCTCCATGCGCCTGCAGCGACCCTTCCTCCGCCATGTTGGATATTGCGAACCGGCCTTTTCGTTCTACACTTTCCCTCGCGCGGAGATGCCCACGTGTTCGTTCGATACATCAAAGTTTACTCGATCGATCTATTCACCGTCAAATCACAAAAAACAAGAAAAACTCAAAGGCTAACTACCGCGTGCATGTGTAATGTCCCTGGGGAAACCTTTTTTTCTTTCTACCGGCATCATCGCGACAATCTTATATCCATCGATTAGAATAGTCAATTATCGACCGTAGTTGCCAATTATCGACAGTACATTAGGTATCTATTACCATATCTATCAAATTCGACAGTCGGTAATCATAATATATATATATTATCATTTACATTAATTATCTCATAATTTTGATTTAGAGTAGGTAATATTTTCCGCGAAAATAA